TTTTTTTTACATTATTTTCCAATTATATAATTATATATATTAATTATTTGTTTTGCATTTTGAACCATTGTTAGTAAATTAAAATTTAGGTTTGAATATAATTTTTCTCAATTTTAGGTTTGAATATAATTGGGAAAATTTGAAAATATTAGAGATTAGTAACCTTGTTACTCAATTAGTTGGATTTTATTATGTTTTAATGGTTAATTTAATGTGTTTTGGTGGATACTTTTGAAATAATTATAGAAAATATATTAACCTTGGTACTTAATTAAATAGGTGAAATTTGGTATTTTACTTTTAATGGTTAATTTGAAGTTGTTTTGATGGATTGTTTTGATGGGTATATTTGAATTAATTTGAGATTAGTAACCTTGCTTGTTACTAAAGTAGATGAATTTTGGAATGGGTGAATGGTTACTTTTAAGTTGTTTTGATGGGTAATTTTGAAAAAATTAGAGATTAATAACCTTGTTAGTTTAGCAATTGTTAGTTCAATGAATGATGTGTTTTAACTTATAAATAAATTAGTGAATTGACATGTTAGTTTAGCAATTGTTAGTTCAATGAATGATGTGTTTTTTTTAACAGATTTGTGAATTGAAGCAAGAGTTTAATTAGCTTGATGAGGACTACATATTGAGCTCAAGTGGGTAGTTTCTATATTGGTATGACTACTAAACTTTACTTAGATATATTTCTTTCTATTCATCCATTTAATAAAAGTTTATTCATGAAATTGCAACTTGTGTATTGTTTAATTGCAAATAAATACAACAATATATAGAATACTTGAATTGCATCATCATATGCCTAGATACCCGTTCAAGGCTTTCTCATTAGGAGAAAGTCTTGAATAGTCCCCGGTTGGGACTGTTCTTGAATGTGTACTCTCACTTAGGTGGTGAATGTATGTTTTCTTTTCGATTTTAAGGAACATCCCGGCTTACCATTTCCTCACTATGTTCTCTGGGTACATATGTGGGTAATTAATTATCTACATCGTGTACTTGGAGAACTAGGGGGAAATGCTGCCGGGTTTTCCTTAAAATTGGAAAGTTGACATACATTCACTAGTGAGAGTAGACATTCAAGGATGGGTTAGGTTGGAGTGATAAGGACCCTTTGGAAACATGCATTTTTTCACTATATGAATGGTATATTAACGTTTTGTACTTGAATTTGATTTACATATAAAATATGTAGCACTTACACATTATAATTATATGGTGCTATATATATGTTTAGAGACAATTTACTAAATGGAGATGGATCGTGGTTGGATGTATGGTAGACGCGATACATTGGAATTTTGGAATGGGGTTCAAGAGTTTTGCGAGAGGGCTTTAGCTTATCAACGCACACTGGGAGGCAAAGGCCTTTATTGTCCTTGTGTTGATTGTAATTGTGTGAATGTGGTCGATAGTGTTGAAATCATTAGAGATCATGTATTATGTCGTGGGTTTAGGCAATTTTACCATGTGTGGATTTGGCACGGAGAAAGTGGAGAGTACAGTGGGGATCTTGATCGGAATGATGTGCGTGTTAGAAGCAGTGAGATTCATGTGGACGAGGAATACGAGAATGATGAGTATATTGTTGATAATGGTGAGGATGGAGCCGATGAAGATCAGGCGGATGAGGTCGAGAATGAACAAGTGGATGAGATGTTGCAAGGTGTTGAAGGTGAAGTGTTTGAATTATTATCGGAGGCTTCCAAAAAGCCTTTGTATCCCGGGTGCAAAAAATACTCCAAACTATCGGCCGTGCTAACACTTTTCAACATTAAGTCGAAGCATGGGTGGACGGACATCAGTTTTACTTCTTTGTTGACCGCATTAAGTGATATGTTGCCTGATGGGAATGAAATTCCTAAGTCTTATTATTACGAAAAGAAGCTCATGTGTCCCTTTGGTTTGGAGTATAAGAAGATACATGCATGTCCTAATGACTGTATTTTGTATCGAAATGAGTATGAAAAACTGCAGGAGTGTCCACGATGCAAGCGGTCGCGGTACAAGCGCATGAGTTGCAATCCTGGCACGGAGGGACCTCCTACTAAGGTGTTGTGGTATCTTCCCATTATTCCAAGGTTTAAGCGTCTGTTCTCAATACCAAAAGACGCTAAAAACTTGAGGTGGCATGCAGAGGGAAGAAAGAAAAACAGAATGCTGAAGCATCCAACTGACTCTCCACAGTGGAAGAACATTGATTTGAAGTTTGAGGAATTTGGAAATGAAGTCAGAAATTTAAGGCTTGGGTTGTGCACGGACGGGATGAATCCATTTGGCACTCTTAGTACCCAACACAACACATGGCCGGTACTTTTAGTGATTTATAATTTTCCTCCTTGGTTGTGCATGAAACGTAAGTATGTAATGCTTTCACTGCTAATAACTGGTCGTAAGCAACCTGGAAACGACATAGATGTTTACCTTGCGCCGCTTATTGACGACTTGAGAAAGATGTGGGACGAAGGGGTTTCCGTTTTCGATGCTCATCAGAACGGGATGTTCACATTGCGTGCAGCCCTTATGTGGACCATGAATGACTTCCCTGCATATGACAACTTGTTTGGGTACAAGGTCAAAGGGAAAAAAGCATGCCCCATATGTATTGATGACACATCAAGCGTATACCTGACTCATTCTCACAAAGATGTGTACCTATGGACTCGAAGGTTCCTTAGGCGTGATCACCCGTACCGTAGGCAGAAAAAGGCTTTCGATGGAACCGTGGAAGAGGATACTGCGCCTAGACCATTGACTGGTGCTGAGATTAGTGCTCGGGTGAAAGGGATACAAACGGTGTTTGGAAAATCAGAAAAAACTGTGGTCTCAGCTGCTCTGTTTAAGAAAGAATCAATCTTTTGGAAGCTTCTGTACTGGAGAGAACATGACGTTAGGCATTGTCTTGATGTGATGCATATAGAGAAGAATGTGTGTGATGCTCTTTTTGGGACGCTTATGAATATCCCAGGCAAAACAAAGGACGGAAAGGGTGCACGGTTAGATTTGCAAGAGATGTGGATTCGTCCAGAATTGTGGCCTCAAGAAAAGGTCAGAAAGGGAAAGGAGCCGAGAATAGAGATGAAAGTGTTTCGAAAAAAGGGAAGGAGAAGAGCAAGGGAAAGGGAAAGGCCAAAGATGCGTCAAAGAAGAAAGTTAAGGGTAAAGGGAAGGATGAAAATAATTATTTACCCCCGGCTTGCTATACATTGTCAATGGTAGAGAAACGTATGTTTTGTGCATTTTTGTACGGCATTAAGGTTCCATCAGGGTACTCATCTAACATGAAAAGATTTGTAACCTTAAATGGAGAATTGAAGCTGACAAGTATGAAATCCCATGATTGTCACATTATGATGCAAGTATTCCTACCGATTGCAATCCGTGGTATTCTACCAAAACACGTGAGGGAAGCGATTACAAGCCTTTGTTCGTTTTTCAATACAATTTGTAGCAAAGTTCTTGATCCTTGTACACTAGATGCTTTGCAAGCTGATGTGGTTGTGACTTTGTGCAAATTTGAGATGTATTTCCCACCCTCATTTTTTTACATAATGGTTCATTTGGTTCTTCATTTTGTGCGTGAGATTAAGTTGTGCGGTCCAGTGTTCATGAGGTGGTGCTACCCTTTTGAAAGACACATGGGTACATTACAAGATAAAGTACGGAACCGAGCTCAACCTGAAGGAAGTATAATGCAAGGGACAGTGGGTGAGGAAATAGGTAACTTTGTGGCGGACTACATAGCCCTTGCTCAACCTATTGGTCTTTCTACTTCTCGACATGAAGGTAGACTTGATGGTCATGGCACAATTGGGTCAAAACAAATGTCACCAGACCGAGATCAGTTCTTACAAGCACACCTTTATGTGTTGCACCATGTTTCAGATGTGCACCCATATTTAGACGAGCACATGGCTTGTTTGCGTGCCGAATTTACATCCAAAGGTGAAAGGGCACTTATGCAGTTGCATAATAAGAAATTTGTTGATTGGTTTCGTGAACGAGTAATGAGTGGATTGAATGATACTAATGTGACCGATAAAGTACGGTGGCTTGCGTACGGTCCTAGGGATGATGTCCGTTCATTTGAGGGATATGACATCAATGGGTACACTTTTTGGACCGAGGCTCGTGATTTGAAATCTTCCTCCACCCAAAACAGTGGTGTAACTCTTGTGGCATCGTCAAGGGAGTTTGCAAGTTCTAAGGATAATCACCTGTCGATGCAGAGTTGTCATACTATGGTCGAATTCAAGAAATATGGGAGCTTGATTATTGTGACTTCACGGTTGCTCTTTTCAAGTGTAAGTGGGTTGATAATATCAGGCGAAACATCAAACATGAGGACTTTACTCTTGTAGATCTTGGCCACTTGAATGATAGTGCGGAACCATTTATCCTTGCATCTCAAGCTAAGAAAGTGTTCTACGTAACTGACCCAATGGATTCAAAATGGTCTATAGTGCTAGCTGGCAAAAGAAGAATCCTAGGCATTGGAGATGTTGAGGATGAGGAAGAATATGATGCGTTTGATGATTCAGAACCTTTCACTGTTCCTAGACCTGGAGTACTAAATGACATAGACAACGAAGCAGGTTATATGCGATCAGACCACAACGAAGGAATTTCAGAATGAGGTAGTTTGATTAAAAGTTAGTAATGGTTTCATTGCAAATATAGTTTAGTTATCATGTATATAGGAGCATAAGTAGGCGAAAATGATATATTTGTAGTTTGAAATTGCCTAAGTGTACTCATTATCTTGCATATACAAGGTTATAGGACCATAACTAGGTGAAACTGGCATAAATAGCTTCTACTTAACCCAACTCCTTTGTTTTGTGTATGAACTAACATTTATTCATTCTAACAACCTATTTTCCATATGTAGATTGAAATTGGCATTTTGTACTCATTATCATGCATATACAAGGTTATGATTGCTATACTTTACTATACACTAATATTGTTTTATGATTGCTTTGACAGGTGCTTATATCTCATGGCGGACGATCATGATCCTCGTTTGGTAGAGGACATTGACGATGATGAGTATGAGGACGAGTACGAGGATGATGACTCTGATGATAGTGATGCTCCTTATGATGTGAATAAGGAGGATGACTTGGGTGAGCCAGAGGATCAGGCTCAAGATGAGTTCGAGCGTAGGCTTGACGATTTTGAAATGTCAGCTGAACGTGCACCGGCCATTGAAAATACAGCACGTGAGATTGTTGGTGAGAACCTGACTCCTGAAAGTCAAGGCCAAGGACAAGATGAAAACAACACAGGTGGTGGAGGGGGGGAAATTGCACCGGCTGAAAGAAAAACAAGGGGTCCGACGAGAAGCTTTAAGAAACTGGACGGTCCCATGGTCTTAGAGTATGACAACAAAGGCCAACCCGGGCCCAAATGGCGTCGACAATATGCTAATCAAGTTGGCTTATGTTCGCGGAAAATCCCCATTACACTTGTAATGCGGCAAGTACCTCCGGGTTTGATTCAAGCATTTTGGGATGATACAAGGGTAAGTGTGTTTTTGGCACATTTAGACAATTTAAGATACCTTAACCTTATGATTGTTTTTAAATAGAAACTAATAATCGGTTTTAATTTGTGTTTGCAGAGGCAGTTTTCTATTCCTAATGATCCCGAGAAGAAAAGGGTGTTTGTCTCTTTATTAGGGGAAAGATTCAGAGGCTTTAAGACCAAGTTGACTAATCGGTGGATCCATAAGAAGAAGAAGGTGCAAACAAAGAAGAAGAATGCCAAAGAGGATAACCGTCTCCCGTGGCAAATATGGCCGACCGTGTCAAAAGATGATTGGGAAGAGTTCGTTAGAATGAAGAGTCAAAAGAGAGCCATTGTAAGTTTGTGTAAATCTGATGTCAATTGAATAATAGCTTGACACTTTTTGTATTAATGAGACTAACATTTTTTGTTTTGTAGGAACTTCGAGAGCAAAATCAAGCAAATGCAGAAAAGAAGGAATACGTCCATCGTATGGGTCCTAAGACTTTTGCTGAAAAGAGACCTGAGTGGGCCGCTTCGGGTTTATACGCTAAAGTGCTTCTAGTGGCATCGAAGGAACCCTCTAGTTCCACGATCACTACCTTGGTGAGTCGTGCCGGTGATTTCTTTTGTTCTCTCCATTCGTTTGATAAGACAACCGGAAAATGGTTCATCAAGGGTCCGGAAGCCAAAAAACTGGCGGATAAGCTAGTAAGTTACCTATGAATTGTTGAAATTAAGTACCTTTTGCATCTAATCACTGTACAAACCATTAACTGTTTTACTGACCTCATTTTTCCTTATGCTATAGCTTGAGCACACTCAAGAGATGGTGGAGGGCAAATTTGAACCAAGTGTGGAGAATGACCCTTTCACCATGGCTTTGGGAAGGTCATACCATCCAGGACGAGTAGTAGGTTTGGGAGGGTCATTGCTTGGATGGAATAAGGTGATGGGTCCCGAATACACAAAAATGGGAACATCTCGAGCCAGTGTTAACTCACCGGGGGAGTTGGATGCCAAGGTGACATCAATTAAGGAACAAGTACGCAACGAGTTAGTTGGTGAATTGAATGCTTGGGCGAAGCTGATGAACTTACCGACTTTGCCGTTTCTCACTTGTACCCCGATCGACTCATGTTCTGAACCAAAAGGACAAGGAGAAGGTGATAGACATGGAGGAGATGAGATACGTGGTGAAGATGTGCCACCTCAGGTAAAATCAATTGGGTTATTAAAAGTTTTAAAATACCGAGTTAATTGAGATTTTAGGTGCAATGATTGATGTACTGTTGCAGGTTCTTACTCCTACACATGCGGACTCGAGGGAGCTTGAAAATCCAACACCGCATGAATTTCCAGAGTTACAGGTGATTTGTAACCCTCTACCTTAATGAATTTTGTTATATCTATGCTGTTGTAAAAGTCCTATTTAACTATCTTCTTTTTATATATATACTTGTGTAGGAAGACACCCGGTGTGCACTTCTAGCCCCGGGTCATGCAAATAGTACCGTGTTGAGTTTGGTGGCGTATGGTAGTGCCCAACCGACGACGGGTGCTACGGCGGGGCCACATCATTACTTGGTTGGGATCGATTCAGTAGTTGCGGGGTTCGAAGACATCCCACTACCCGTACCGATAGAGGAGGTTGAGATAACAACGCTTTGGCAAGCTGTAGGTAGCTTCGTTGATTGGCCACGTGCATGGGTGAAGTTGATTAATAAGGAGGTAAATTAGCTACTCACTTGACTATTTTCTTCATTTCTCAACTTTTAAACTCCTTGCATCTCAAAACAACTCATAATCACATATTTATAAATGTTTATCATTTGAAATTACATAAAAATCGCAAAGTTCTAAGGTTTTTGGTCCAATTCATCAAATTAAAGCCACTATGAGCCGAAATGGCTACTCACTTGCCTATTTTCTTCATTTCTTAACTTATAAACTACTTGCATCTCAAAACAACTCATAATCACATATTTATAAATGTTTATCATTTGAAATTACATAAAAATCGCCTAGTTCTAAGTTTTTGGGTCCAATTCATCAAAAAAAGCCATTTTGACCCGAAATGGCTACTCACTTGCCTATTTTCTTCATTCCTCAACTTATAAACTCCTTGCATCTCAAAACAACTCATAATCACATATTTATAAGTGTTTGTCATTTGAAATTACATAAAAATCGCCAAGTTCTAAGTTTTTGGGTCCGATTCGTCAAAAATAGCCATTTTGACCCGAAATGGATACTCACTTGGCTATTTTCTTCATTTCTCAACTTATAAACTACTTGCATCTCAAAACAACTTATAATCACATATTTATAAATGTTTGTCATTTGAAATTACATAAAAATCGCCTAGTTCAAATTTTTTTTTAAAAAATAAGCAACTTCCGCCGCACCGGGACACCCGAGGGAGCCGCCCCCGCTGCCGGAAAAGCAAAGGCAGCCCCAACGAGGCCAGAGAAGCCTCGACAGGTGGCTGCCAAGGCTGTAGCAGCCACGGCAGCAGCCTGCCTGGGCTGCTGCAGCCTCGACAGGCGGGTGCCATGGCTGCTGCAGCCTCGGCAGGTGCTGCTACAGCCATGGCAGCCGCCTGTCGAGGCAGCAGCAGCCCAGGCAGGCTGCTGCCAAGGCTGTAGCAGACTGGCAGCCACCTGCCGTGGCTGCTACAGCCTTGGCAGCCACCTGTCGGGGCTGATGTGGCCTCAGCACGGGCTGCCTTCGCTGTTCAGGCAGCGGGGGCGCCTCCCTCGGGTGTCCCGGTGCGGCTGCCGTTGCATTTTTTTTAAAAAAAAATTTAAGCAATTTTCATCATTTCATCAAAAAGTAGCCGTTTTGAGCCGAAATGGCTACTTACTTTCCTATTTTCTTCATTTCTCAACTTATAAAATCCTTGCATCTCAAAACAACTCATAATCACATATTTATAAGTGGTTGTCATTTGAAATTACATAAAAATCGCCAAGTTTTAAGTTTTTGGGTCCAATTCATCAAAAAAGCCATTTTGACCCGAAATGGCTACTCACTTTCCTATATTCTTCATTTCTCAACTTATAAACTCCTTGCATCTCAAAAAAACTCATAATCACATATTTATAAGTGTTTTTCATTTGAATTTACATAAAAATCGCCAAGTTCTAAGTTTTTGCGTCCAATTCGTCAAAAATAGCCATTTTGACCCGAAATGGCTACTCACTTGGCTATTTTCTTCATTTCTCAACTTATAAACTCCTTGCATCTCAAAAAACCTCATAATCACATATTTATAAGTGTTTTTTTCATTTGAAATTACATAAAAATCGCCAAGTTCTAAGTTTTTGGGTCCAATTCATCAAAAAAAGTTAGTTTGACCCGAAATGGCTACTCACTTGCCTATTTTCTTTATTTCTCAACTTATAAACTCCTTGCATCTCAAAACAACTCATAATCACATATTTATAAGTGGTTGTCATTTGAAATTACATAAAAATCGCAAAGTTCTAAGTTTTTGGGTCCAATTCGTCAAAAATAGCCATTTTGACCCGAAATGGCTACTCACTTGCCTATTTTCTTCATTTCTCAACTCATAAACTCCTTGCATCTTAAAAAAACTCATAATCACATATTTATATGTGTTTTTCATTTGAAATTACATAAAAATCGCCAAGTTATAAGTTTTTGCGTCCAATTCGTCAAAAATAGCCATTTTGACCCGAAATGGCTACTCACTTGGCTATTTTCTTCATTTCTCAACTTATAAACTCCTTGCATCTCAAAGAACCTCATAATCACATATTTTTAAGTGTTTGTCATTTGAAATTACATAAAAATCGCCAAGTTCTAAGTTTTTGGGTCCAATTCATCAAAAAAGCCATTTTGACCCGAAATGGCTACTTACTTGCCTATTATCTTCATTTCTCAACTTATAAAATCCTTGCATCTCAAAACAACTCATAATCACATATTTATAAGTGGTTGTCATTTGAAATTACATAAAAATTGCCAAATTCTAAGTTTTTGGGTCCAATTCATTAAAAAAAGCCATTTTGACCCGAAATGGCTACTCACTTGCCTATTTTCTTCATTTCTCAACTTATAAACTCCTTGCATCTCAAAAAAACTCATAATCACATATTTATAAGTTTTTGTCATTTGAAATTACATAAAAATCGTCAAGTTCTAAGTTTTTGGGTCCAATTCATCAAAAAAGCCATTTTAACCCGAAATGGCTACTCACTTGCCTATTTTCTTCATTTCTCAACTTATAAACTCCTTGCATCTCAAAAAAACTCATAATCACATATTTATAAGTGTTTGTCATTTGAAATTACATAAAAATTGTCAAGTTCTAAGTTTTTGGGTCCAATTCGTCAAAAAAAGCCATTTCGACCCGAAATGGCTACTCACTTGGCTATTATAAGTGATTGTGAGTTGAAACTTATTATTTCTCAAACTATTTCAGATTTCCAATGGAAGCAAAACTTCAAAGAGAAAGAGGGTGGAGAAGCCTAAAAGAATTGATCAACCTAAGAAGAAGCTTAGTGAACAACAGTCCAAGAGTGAACAAGCGTCGAAGTTGCACTCTTCGAAAGGTTCACCCATGCCACCTACTCCAATTGTTGAAGACATTGTTCTTCAATCGCTCTCTACTGACATGACCTTTCTTCACAACCGTGCTTGTCATTTGGTCGATCCCATGGAAGTTGCACTTCCTAAGGCAATGTTCCACTATGATGAGGATGCAATTGCATGGATCAGCAAAGAAGATGTGAAGGAATTTCTACGTGGTGCAAAGCTTAACATTTCCCTCATTCAAACATTCATGAGGTACTTCAATGCCCATATAAAGTTCATACTTTTTTCAAGTTATTCAAATTGATGGTGATTATCCTACATCTGATAAATTAATCAATGTTCATGCACGCAGAGCACTACAGGAACACTTAACTGACACTGATTCTCCTTGTAAAGTAGGGTGGTTATGCCCCGAGCAGTTATCCACTACTAAAATCATAGGCAACCCCCATGACGTGTTGTACTATGTTGAACAGAGTATAAGGGAATCAACGCGTGCGGGAGACAAGTTCATATTCGCCCCACGTTATAGAGAGTATGACTAACCATGTCAAATTCAATCGATTTGGCCTCATTATATGTTGACTCCTAAATATTAATTACCTTGTCTATTGTGAACTTATGTAGGGAGCATTGGAGCCTCATGGTGATTTGTAATTCCACTAACACAATTTATCACCTTGATTCAGCTCGATCATCGGAGAAGTGGCTCGTGAAGTCTATATTGCAAAAGTAAATATATATAGCAACCTATAGTCATGATTATTGCTAATAATAACTAATTTAGTAATCATACGACTAATCAAATTTGATTGTATTTTTTTATACTACAGTGTTATGAAGAAGCTACATTGTCGTGCTCCAAAGGGTCCAACATGGAAGACACCGTTGGTAATTTACATGATATTATATTATTGTGATTATCTTGAAAATCTATGGTAGTAAATATTTGCTCATTT